AAACACAGGGGCCCTCTCAGTTCTCATTCACGCTATCCGCTATCACTGAACCATCGTGTTGCTGGACATCGGTGGCAGTGGCAGAGGCTCGAACGGTTGTCTGAGGCCTGATTAATTCTTGTCGAGACTGCACCGGCCCTGAACAAGTCTTTGAGCTATGAGCGACTACTCTCGAAGAAGGCCCTTCTGTTTCTGTAGATGTAGTTGTGTGAGAGTGTGTATGTGTGTGTGTGTGACTTTGTTTCTTTCGGCAGAAGAAGGGTTTTGTCCTGAAAGAAAGCTTCTCACAGTCATTTTTTGGGGAGGGTCTCTCTTGTAATCAGAGTTGGGTTGGCTTCTTGAAACAGAATCATTGACCAACGAGTCCTCATAGCTGCTGTTGCTGTAGATTATTGAATGGAGCAAAGCTTGCGAGCTGGCTCTCGATGTGCGGGTGATGGAACTTTGTACTTTCAGGTCGCTCTTCTGGGCTGTCAGGCAAGGTTCTCATACGAGCTATCTAACATGTTCTCATAGCCATCAATGATGAAGGAAAACCAGCACCTTGGCATTTGAACCATGTTCGCTTTTGCACGTGTTTGCACTCCTGTTCTGGCTGAGCGCATGCATCTGCGACAGTCATGTGGCTAGTACCTGCAGCTTTTTGTTGGCAGCTTCGTAGGAAGGGTACGCCAGTTGCCATCTGCAAAAGAGTCGTATGGTTCATTCGGAAGCTCTTCATCAAATTGGTTTGGATGTTGTAAGGCTTTACAGTAGCATGTGCTGCGTGGCCCCAACCTCCAGGTCAGGATTTGTAGCAACATAGGGTTGGGTCACTGCAAACCAGATGCAAAATCACCACAGGGCCGAGATGCGTTTGCTCCCTTGGACATCGGATGGGGCAGCATGTGTAATATCATGTGTAGAGCATGAGCTCTACAGCTGCAGTAAGCCGCCGCACTACAAAGAAGACTGATCATATGCTGTACTAGTACGGTGGTCTTAAAATGCAACAGCAGAAACATGGCCAGCTCGCTGTGCGTTATGGCGGGCAAGTCATGCAGGACGGATGCTTTTGCACATCAATTTGTCCGGTTTTAGATGTCCAGCTGTACGTAGCAATCCTTGCTTGACGGTGTTTTGTTGCCGTAGTCTGGTCATAGTCGTAGAGTCGCAGATGGTTTGCCAGGCTGCTAGACCGCAAATCATGCAGCACGAGGGTCGTCTCGAATCATCGGCACACCTGGCGAGCACTCAAACGCAACATCAGTCTCTAGAGTATGGTAACCCCAGAGTCAGACGTTCTTCACGCTGATAACCTTAAAACTTAAAATTAAAATGTCAAGGGGGTGAAGGCTGGTGCCCGGCAGTGCCCGGTGTTGTCTTCAGGCTGTGGTTTAGTCTCTCGCAAGAGCTTTAGAACTTTCTAAAGCCTCCCTTGAAGGTACCACACCAGGGTCCAGACGCCACTGCTGGAGAACTGCAGGCCTCTGTCGGCTTGATCCTGTGCTCTGTGCTCATTCCACGTCGCTTCCTAAACAAGCTTTTCTCATCATTGTAATCATTGCGCTAATACAACTTGTCTAGGCAATCTCGTTCAGTGGGCAAAGTGAAGTACAGTATCGAGCAATTATGTCATTTGGTTTTAGTTTTCTGGGAACGGGATGTTTAACGTGTCCTGACCTTTACATGCTCCTTGATCCAACAGCCTTGCTTGGCCCAGATTCGGCGAATGAGTCGAAGCTTGAAACAAGTCCGCCGGTGACATGTTGGTGACATGCCTGCTACATACATCTACATACTATGCTGGACGGACCTATCGGAGGTCAACCACGTAAGCTTGTTAGCTGAGTGCCGGCATCGCAGTTGCAGGTCTCTGTCCTGCTGCATGCTGCAGGCCTCACTGACAGGCTGTGGCAAACTAGGGTTCATGCACGCACTATAGACATGTATCGACGGTTTTGATCCCTGAGGGTGAACAGGCTCCAATCTCAGAAAGAGGTGCCAGTCGGCTACACTTTTCCACCAAATCTTGCCCCACAGCTCCATCACAGCCTTTGGTCTTGCAGCCGAATTTCGTCCGTTCAAGATAGTTCAAGGGTTCGAACCCAGTCAATCTTCAGGGCCGGTTCGAGCATCCGCAATGAAGGCTCGAAGCATGGAGCAGCTGCTTTCGGACTTCGGATTCGGAAATTCGCAACAGAAGCAGCAACATCGCTCTTGCTCAAAGCTTTCCCAACTTACGGGGCATACCCATAATCCGGTGCATTGCTCTACCATGCCCTATCCGGAAAAGCCCTACTCACATCATGCAACACCAGACTTTACTATACTGCAACATTGATACAATGTTACATATATTGCATATCTAGGTGCTCATACTCGACAACCTCTAGCCCGAAAAGGCTCGGCAACCTCCTCGTGCCCGACGAGGATGCATTGCAACAGCTGCCTGAAGCATGTGTTCCCGAGGCCACTCCTCCACATTGCTGTCACGTAGAGTTTAGTTTAGGGTATAGCAGTATACGGTGGTGAATGCACAGTTAGGTTCACCAATATCACCGCTTGCTTGTATGGTCCTCTCGGAAGCCCGTCCGTCAGAAGACTGATCAGAATTGATTCAAAGATATTCAAAGACCACAGTGGGCGTGGCTCAAGCACGTCAGTGAGGCCTCCCCACTTCGAGTTTTGATTTTCAAGCATGGATCATCATCCCGGTCCGATCCTATCTAGGCGGACGTTTGTGTGTGCTGGCAAGTACCGCAAAATGCTGCATTAGCGTCACTGACGTGTCAGCTGTCAACCAAGGAGGTTTGCAGAAGTGATGAACAGCCGTAACTGTTCTCACTGTGTGGATGCACAGTCTTACTCGGTAATTGGTTATCAGGAAACCAGTGGAACTTGTGAGTGGCAGTCAAGTGAACGGGTGATGTGCCGGCAGCGATCAAGAAAACTTGCAGGGCTCGTGCGAATTTCGACTGTGGTGCCAGATGGTGCCGCTGCAGATTGGTCATTTCGGCTGCAATTGGAAAGAGCGACAGAGAACTCCAACAAGCAGTATTGAAATTGTCTGGACCGTTGAGAAGCACGACTGATGCTGCAGCATTCCCGCTCACTCTTTCTTGACGATCGAGCATCTTATCTAGTGAAAAGTTCCGGCGTCCAGATACCACAGTGGCCAAACGTGACCTGAGTAGGGTCCCGATGTCCAAATGCAAAACACATGCATCATGTTCAGCAAGGCCAGAGCGTTTCCATGTTCGGCCTGGGCCAGGCACGTATATCTGCCTTGGCAAAAGCTTGCAACATCGAAGCCCTCACCGTCACCATCATGATCATCGTCGTCAACATCATCATCTTCGTCATCATGATCATCATCATCATCATCATCAGGAGGGCAACGTAAGAATACTGCTATTTGGTGTGGTAGCTGGATGTCCGGTTGAAAGAGTAGCGGGCAGTCACGAAGCTGCTTCATTCACATAGCTCTTCAGGACTTCAGAAATCGAGCACTGGCTGAGCACGGCTTTAGCAATGGTGCCCATCATGTGCAGTTGCAGGATACTTTCAGCGTTTGTGCGTAGGCATGTACTCGAAGCTGAGGCAGCAGCTGTTGTTGTGCTCACTGTTGCAGCCTCGAGTCCTCACAGGCACGAGTGTTCGACCTGCGTCGCAACAAGGCGTGCTGAGAATTGAATTGGAAAGTTGCTTTCTTTGCCTTCTGCTCCCCTGCTTTGGCATATGAGCCCTGGCAGGGCAAGTCAGATTTGGGGCCTCGGTACCTTTGTCGGGCTGTAGGATGCTAAGCGTCTATTCTTTGCCCAAGGCTCCGCGGGAGAGAAGAGGAGCGGACAACCCGATAGCTGGAGTTCCCAGCTTTTTGACCTTGTTATCTATATATATGTATATATATATACATACATACATACATACGTTGTAAGCATTTTCTAAACGGAGTGTGAAGCTGACGAAAGCGCATACCAAAGCGGGGGTTTCCCAAGCTTGTCGCTTCAGTGCCTTGATCTCGCAATACAAAATCCCGCATGTGGTCCACACCCTACGCTCAAAGTTCACAGCCCAATTTTGGCTCCTTGCCGCAGGCCTCTCGACGCTGTCAGGGGTTCTCGACAGGCGGCTGCTACTCAAAAGCACGAAGACAAGTGCTGAGCATCAAAGCCGGGGTTTAACTGGTGGAAAAAAATGGCTGCTACACGACCAGGTCGAGAGCCACCTGCGCAACTATTTGCTTGCTGTGATGTTATCTGCAGTCGGCTTTGCCCTTCAACGGATCTGAACTATATAATTCCGGATATTCGTAGCAGCTGCTGCTGCTGCCGCTGCTGCTGCTGCTGCTGCTGTCCCTTCTACAACCCTTCGTGCTGTACTTTGCGATATCACTCAAGCTTGTGTGATAGTTGCACGCGACGGGCTGACAGTCTCGTGAAGTCGAGGCCTTCGGTGCAGCAAGCTTGCGCGACTTGGCCTGCAAGGCAGTTGTTTTCGATCGCGTGGCTGACTTTTCCAGGAGCAACGTGTGATGCGAGAACATCAGTCAGATTGTCTTTCTGAATCGGTGATGTTCATGCTTTATACGTATATAATATGCGTTTTCGAGAGATCAGGATGTGCGGTTCTGTCTGCCAGGTCGGCACATGAACTGACGTCGCGGTGGTTCCAGATGCGCAAGGCATGCTGTCATGTGAAAGGCATATCTTGTCCCGAGTGAGTTTGCAAGAAGCCCAGCACTTTCGAGCCTACACATTGTCGTATAGCATCAAGGCTGTGATGCGATGCCGATGACAAGCGTGGACTCAAGCTACACGGTCGGATGCAAATACCCGACCTCCTTGAACCCTGTCTTTCCTAGACAATTCTAAAGGCGACACGAAACACAGCTTCGTGCAATGTAGCGAGGATGCACGCTGCCAGCCTAGCCTTCCCACTCCCAGCAGCACTTACACTGCAGCCCAACTCGTGGAGCTTTCCCTGCCAGAGCAACAGTAGTCGCTGCACGTGCTGCCATGGTGGCACGTGAGTTCGATGGCTTTGACGATGGTTATGGTGACTATGGCGATGGATCCGAGGAGGTCTGTTGGGCCATGACTCGACTGATTACTCTACTGTATGCACGCGGTTCGAAGCAAGCTGGGCCTCTTTTGAGGTAGCCAGCGGCAGGTCGAGTCTGTTACAAACTGACCTGAGGCTCGTCAAAGCACTAGACAGCCTTTCCGTTAATCGTGTCCTTGCAAACCTATGCGGCCGTGAGTGTGTCGTTCGGGGGTCAAGGATGTGACGAGCCAAACTGTATAAACAATTGCCGTAAGGATACATTAGGAACTAGAAAAGGGGCCCCACTCCATCACCACCGGATAAATCGAGACTGCATGCAGACGTCTGCCAATGCAAGAGACACAAGTGCGCCAATGCACGAAACAAGTGCTATGCCGACCTTTGGCGCTGAGTGCTGGATGGCATGAGATCGTCTGGTCGAAAATATAAGTAGGGATGCTTCTGGGTGTGTGCAATTGTTTTGGCAGTCGTTTTTGTTTGGCGTCTTAGCGGTGATTGCACAGATGATGGAGTCAGCTGTCAGATTCGCTGTTGAATCAGGCTTGATGTTCGTATCACGGCCCATGTTATATACATCTCACATCGCCTCACCGATTTCCTGATCCTCCCTGCCTGACCCGTGGCCTCGTGGTCCAGGAGAACCCGGCCGAGGAGGATGGCAAGCCGATGTTCGGCAGTCTGGTCGGTGAAGCCGGGGAGCGACTTGCCGGATGTGAGGTTAGATGCATGTCCGGTCGACATCGGGGCCTCATTCGGACCAGGGATCCCTTCAGAGCGGGCCTGTGTATCCAAGGATGCTTATGGAAGATGAGGCGAAGAACCAGCGACAGGCCTGCCAGAACGGCTTCTGTCATGTGCTGCAGGTGACGGAATGACATGCCAGTGCTGGAGCCGTACATGCCACGGACACAAGTATACATGAAGATCCATGCAGCGCAGGCGCGCCGTAACCTGCGCATCCGCGGCCTGCTGAAGGGCCGACGAGACACCACCATCGAGGCGGCATTTCCCATAAGTGTTCTGAGGTTTCGAGAACTCGGCAACTGAAAGGAGCATTGCGAACTGCAAGCTGTACTTCGAAGGTTTGTGATCGTTTGGACATCTTTCGCAGGTTTACGGACAGCTTGTAAGAAGCACTGTGCAGCTAGTGATGCTAAACGCACCCTGAATGCTACATGGCAGCTTCAAGCACCCCCGACTCGCCCTCGACATCCCTTCTCACGCATCCCTTTCACAACAGTGGCGCTTCCGGTCAGGAGCTTTTAAAGCCCGACACGTTGGGCGAAGCCTCTCGGCCATTCAGGCTTTTGCGAGGGAGCAGATCGGAACCCGGACTCTGACTTCAGAGTTGGACTTGGGAAATCAGCATCTGCACTCCGGGATTCAGGCCGTTGTCATTCGTTCACAGAAACTTGTGTCTCGTTTTTGGCTTTATGAGTGTCTGTGTCTATGCATATACAGTATATACATACATACATACATACGTACATACATACATGCATACATCCATACATACATACCTACATACATACATACATACATACATACATATATACATACATACATACATACATACATACATACATACATAAATACATACACACACACATATATATATATATATGTATGTCTCTTTCTGTCCGTCCGTCCGTCCGTCCGTCCGTCCGTCCGTCCGTCCGTCCGTCTGTCTGTCTGTCTGTCTGTCTTCTGTATATATATATATATAAAATGCATATACACATGTACTTCTGTATTATATACAGACAAATTTGTCTTTGTCTGCTGTACATATCTATATCTATATCTATATCTATATCTATATCTCTATCTATCTATCTATCTATCTATATATATATATAGAAAGTCTCATGGCAGCGAAGGTAGCTACCATCACCGACCTGCTGGAGCCAAAGCCTGCAAAGGCTGAGGCTCCTGCATTAGGATGCCTTAGGAAGCAGTGGGTTTTCCCCGTGGCTCCACATGCCCTCTAGGGACTCTAGGGTTGCCTGTAGGGTTCCGGTAACGACAACTATGCAGCAAGGGAGTGCAAAGGAGGGCTCAGGGAATGTGAGGCCTCTTGGCTCCCGCCACAGGTCACAAGTGCGAATGACTGTCGGTGGGTTTGCCGCTTTACCCAACAGATCCAAGAGATACGAAAAGCGTAGGCTCTCCACTGGCAGTCAGACGGCAGGACGAAGTTTCGGAACTGCCACCCTGGCTCGTCTATCGCGACGAGCCCTCAGAGGTGAGCCTGCGTCTCCACGAGGATGGGTGAGTTCTTCAACGTGAGCCTGTCATCCGGGGCAGCAGACAGTCAAGATGGGACACTTGTGACCTTCACCCGAGCCCCCAAAGTCTAGAAAACGTTTGCGAAAGGAGCTCCTCGACTTTGCTGCCTTTATGCGGCCGACGATCATAGAGTCGGCTTCTGGGACTACTAGGCAATGAAAGCCAGCCATGCGTGGACATCGATTCTCCCCTTATAAGGATTATTGTGAAAAGATGCATCAGTTGCAGGCATATGCTGTCACTTCTGCTCGGCAACTCGCTTTTCCAAATTCCATCCTGTCTAATCCAAGTAGGCGTGCCTGTGTTGTGGTATAGCTGAAGCCTGATGCTACTTTGTGTGAACGGCCTTGAAGTGTTGAAGTCGAAACCTCGTGTGTAATATCTCGATGCAGCTGAGGCGGCAAGGGATGCCTGGACACACACCTTGCAGCAAGCTTCCGAGTCCTTGCCCTTTGGTGCACAAGCAGCCTTCTGGTTTCGAACTGTGCATGACGGTTCTTGCTTCAGTTCCGGAGGTGAAGGGCTGAGCCTTGTTCGCGACCAAACGCTGATTGTACCTCCACTGGTGATGAACACCGCAGGTAGGCATCTTCATTCTTTCCCAAAGCCCTGTTATAGGAGTGCGCGTGGTCTGTTAAGCAGATCTTGGGCGCAGTTGGGCAAATGGGGTGTGTTCGGGGCCGGACCCTGAAACCAAAGAGCCGCACAAAATTGTTGGTTGGGGGGAGAGCAGGCCAGGGCCACCTTAGTTTCTGCAATTGTACTTCCAAGGAACATACAGTCATCCCGAGGCAAGTTCCGATAACCCGGATCCGCAGCTTGGGTCCGTGAAGACGTGGATTCCGGGAGCTGAAGCATGGTGCATGTGTGTGCAATTTTTGTGCTATGAATACACATTAAAGGCCACCGGGTTGCCCTGTGGCTACTTCAAGCCTCGACCCTAACTACACCGAGCAAGAGGAACGACGCAAAGTCCGAGCAGAAGCGACTTGCATCATCCGGTTTCTTTACATATTCTCCAAACGTAGCACCCGAGAAGCGCAAGAGAACTGCACAGGCTCCCCCAGCACAACAGTCCAAAAGCCAGCACCAGGGACAGCTAAACAGCATTGAGGCAGCCACCTACTTGCAACTCGTCTCAGGTAAGCCCCCACATTCAGAATGAACAACACATGCAACAAGATCTTGAGTCTCCATGTAAGGGCCAGCATTGCACCGACATGCCCAGACAAAGAATCGTGATAGTGCTGGTTCAGCTACAAGGCATCCGTGTTTTGCTGCCCGCATGGCCCTATCTAGACGGTCTTTAATCGCAAGACCCAAAATTCAAAATGTTTTCATCCTCGATGCAACGATCTCATAACAATCAGGTGGCCGCAGGCGCGGGTGCATGTCTTCGGTTCCACTGCCACGAAGCTGAACTTGCCAAATGCCGATGTGGACGTTGCCATCGTCAACATAGAAGGCAGCTGGCGAGGGCTTAGGGGTTTGCTGTGTGTTTCGGGCGATTCGACAAACCTCCTTTGCGGCCCATTTTGACCAAATAAAGCCATTACTGGTTCTTCCTCAGAATCCGAGCCCGAAGCACGAATTCGGCAGGGGTGACTGGAGACCTCTTCCTGGCAAGAACACACGTTCATGGTGACGGTACTTGCTTGCTTGCTTGCTTGCACACGTACGTAATGACTTGCCTACCCACTTGCCGAGCGACCTACCTATACCTATACCTATACCTATTTACCTACCTACTTACCACCCTACCCACCTACCTACCCAAATAGCGACCTACCTCCCTGCCTGGCTGGCTGGCTGGCTGCCTGCCTGCGATTACATACGTAGGAGATGATTGATGTCGTCTAGGTAGGCGGTGCAAAAGCCACGCGAAGCTGCAAGACAAGAGTAAGAACCAGCCCCTCAAGGGCGGTTCCCAGTCGTGTTGAGGCCTCAGAGCCACCACGGCCATGAAAAAGCTGGCCGAGCTCCTGTTGGAGCGCGAGGAGGTCAGTAAAATTGAAATTATTCAGAGCCTTGCCTTAACGGATCATGGATCTGCATCTCTCGAGCGTTCGGCGGTTAGGTCGCAGGTCACACGCAAGACGCTCGAATAAGCATCTGTCCACGGCATGTCTTCATATCGTTGGTGGCACAGCTTCAGCAGAGGAGAGGCGGTCTCTCATCGGTCAGTGAATCATCTTTTTCAGAACAAGAAGAGCACAGTGACTCACGAGGTCTGCAAAGGTTCCGGTGATGAAGGTCCAGCACCGAGACTTGGCTGCAGTCTGAGATCCCTTCACCGCATCGGATTCAGGCCGTTAATTGTTGCCCGGAACCTTCACTGAACTAGTTTCTAGACTTGACCGAAGGTAGTCTCATGTTCTCCTTGCTTGCCGCAAAACTGGATCCTCAACACAGGCAACACGGGGCTGATGGCCGACATCGTAGTCAATCGGACCGATGGCCTCGAGACTGCGCAATTCATTGACGCATCCCGACGATGCTAAAGTGGGTAAGAGGGCTGGGCTTCGATGGTGCAGGGTCTGGGTCATGCGTAGCGGACAGGATGTGGGGAGAGCATCCATCCTATGGTTACGTATGGCGTTTGATTATGCAGGCAGGCAGGCATGCCTGCAGGTGTGTCTCAGTGTCTGTTTGAATGTATGAGTGTATGGGTGTATGTCTGTGTGTGTGTGTGTGCATGTGCTCTATAGGCAGTAAAAATGCCAGTCCAGCTTGCTCAGGAGCAGATGCGGCTTTTTCCTGCGCTGTCGCCACTGGTGCTGTTTCTGAAACTGTTCCTTTCACAGAGGAATCTGCATGAAACGTTCATGGGCGGCATGGGCTCCTACGTGCTCGTTTGTGCGCCTTGGACGTGTTGGCGCCATAGATTATGTTGCTTTTTGCATGTCCACCATCCTAAACGGGCTAGACTCTCGGCTAGACTAGGTGACATACTGTTGCTAAACATCGGTTTTATTCTATATAACAAGCTACAACAAAAGCAGACACCTTGTCACGGTTATTAATTATGTAGGAGTGCAAAGTGCAAAGAATTAATTAAGCCTGTTCTGACTTGTGCGTATCCTCTCGTGGAGGTGGTGCTTTCGTTTCTGCAGCACCACAAGTCGGCCCAGAGTTCCCATTTGCATTCGGTAACTACTCTGGGCAACCTTCTGCTGGACTTCTTCAGGCCGCGAGGGAGTCGAAACTTCAAGATGTTGCTAGCTACTAGTTGGTGGATTAGAAGTCTTCCACTCACCACAGAGTTGTTGGGACTTTTACTTTTAAACACATCAATCATCAATCCTGAAGCTTTCACCGTGTGCGCCGTCTCCCACAGGTACTACGGCCAGGAGTTCCGCTATGCTGCAACTGGGATCTCCGTGCGCGAGGGCGGATCCCTGTTCGACAGGGCCAAGCGAGGCCCAGGGCTGTTTGGACTTTTGGGAGCCAGCACCATGGTAATTAAAGCATGTGATGCCAGCTCTGGGCCCTCCACTGGAAGCCCCGATACCTCTTCCAACGTCCAATTCACTGCAACCAGAAGCTTTTACGAGAGACTTTCCTTGAAGATCGGGATTGTCGAGACTGGGTTCGCCGCGGCATGGCTGACCATGGCACCTGATACTTGATGAACCTATTTAGCAGCCGCCAATTCTGCTTCCCGAAAGACTTTGCGCATGCAAGCTGCAATCGTTGTTGAAGGTTGGACCGCAACAACTCGATCCGGACAGGCGACGTTATGCCTAGAGCCCTTCGGACTTTTCGGTGCTGCCTCGGAGCTGCTCCGAAAGAACTGCAGGAAAGTCCGCCCTTGAAATTTAAGGTGCCGGAAGCCTAACATCCAATTTTGACCGAAGCCTTAGGAGCACAGTGGGCTCTGGAGGTGGCTGCAGGCTGTGTCGAGTACTGTAGGTTTGAGGTTTGAGTATTACACGGTATGTCATGACTCATGACGATAAGCTGCCGCCTTAATCGCCGATACGACTTTCAGCTGCTAGAGGTCGCCGACTGAGCCTTCTTTGGACATTGGTGGCCGGATATTCAAGACGCTAGGCTGCGACACGCAGGGACGGGCAATCCATACCATGCATGATGCCGAAAGTTTGCAATCTGAACATGTGCGCTGCGTCTGTAACTTCTCACCGGCGTTCGAGCAGTTACAAGTTCTACGATGATTTTGACTTCTGCCCCTGGCCCAGCGCTCCAGCTTCAAATCCTCTGAGACGATGCCATGCAAGGATAGGGCTGGTCCGAGCTGCCTTCAACCACGGGTACCAGGCCGCCCGGACGACAGGAATGGAGAAGTGGTGAAGGTACGTGGAATCTTGCAGAGACGCCGAAAGAATCACTTCGAGTCGTCAGGGCCGGTTAGGGCCTTGTGTGGGACTTTGGGGCCAGGAACTCTAAAAATGCATATTGTTAGATTAATGTAAAAATCATTGTAAATGTGTCATATGACTATATTTACTTGTGTGTGTGTATGTATATGTACATATATATATATATATATACACACACACATACATCCATACATATACATATAGACAAGGTTATGAACAACTATAAACACATATAAACATAAAAGTCATATGTATATATATATATGCACATACATGTATGCAACAAATGAATACATACATGACTGTTTATCAGCTTCTTATGGAGGTCCTGTCGGCGCTCTTCCTGGCGAAAAAGGCTCCGGAAGGATCACTTCTTTGCCCATTCCTCCTTCGACAGGCCGTGGGGAGGGGAAAAAAGAGGGACAGACAGTTCCATACTTTGGAATGCAGTGAGCACAAAGCTTTGTTTGCACACCTGGTTCCGAAGTTCTGCCTTTGTTAGTAGGCGCCACAGCCGTCAGCCTAATAAGTCTATACCTGGATATACCTTGCAGGACCATCCGACCATTGCGGAGCGCTATCAGCTCTACCGCGAGCAGCCTGCACCCTTCCTGGAGGCACTGCTTTGGACCCCTTCGGTTTGATGCTGTAGCTGATGACAGATGGGCGCATGATGGAGCTGTCCGCAGCGTCCAAAAAGACCTGCCCTGCTGACACCTGTGTCTGCGCATGCTCTCGCAGGGTGTCGGGCGTCCGGAAAGTGACGAGGACTTGGGGGCATGTACGCATGCGCAGATGCTGTGGGAGTTTGGGGATCGTTGACTGCTTTGAGAAGGTTTGAGTCTCGGGCGGTCGATGACTACACCAAGTTGCCGGAGACTTCCGTTCATACCGGGCTGTACCACCAGAACCAGAGTTCAAGAGTTGTTGGGTTCAGGTTTCGTTCATGAGTGCCTTGCTGGATGAAGGCGGCCTGAGGCGGCCCTGAGACCTGATCCCAGGAGGCGCAGGAGCCGACACCGAAGAGGCGTCGTGGGGAAGCCGCACCAACCGTGGATGTGCCTCTCACAGAGCCGGCCTCTTGTCGAAAGGTTTGCGGGTAGGCACCGAAACAGGCAAGCATCGATGCTGTACTGCAAGAGCTCTGCAGAGTAGCGATGGCCCACCGAATCCTTTGGACACACACGGCTCGAATGCTCGCTGCTGTGCTTCGGGCCCCGGCCCTGCAGGAGATCGCGTAGGGCGTATCAGGCTGCGACTAGCACCTAGTCTTGAGGTCTCACAAGACGAAGGTATGATCAGAGTTGCCAGAACTTATGGAACAAAAAACCGGACGTGAGACGAATAATTTCGAGAAGGTTTGTAAAAAGAGCATAAATCGGACAGTTGGGGTCAACGAGGCTGAACCTGTACCCGCAGTTCCAGCAGAGGACCGGGGATGACAGTGAATCTTATGAGCACAGCATCAGGGCCACTAGGGCTCATAGCCGATGCACAGGACATCAGGACCCGGACCCATGCAGTCTTCGGAAGACGATGTGCTATGGTGTACTAGCCATTCCCTGGCCTGGCTGTAAGTAGAAACAGCGCAAGAGGATGCCGAAGAATTGGGCGATGCATTGGCCTTCTTGGCAGAGACCGAGGAATGGTTGGGCAAGGGTGCATTTGGCAATATGAAGCCGCATCATCACTCCGCAGACATTGTTGCCAGTCTGGTGAAGTGTTTACTATGCTTGACTTCGGGCTTTGCTTGGTGACGAGAGGTCTGAAATCCTAGCCGCTCGTTCCACGGTTGAAGAAGTGCCTTGACGGGCATCGAAGTGATGCGAGGCGCCCTGTCCCGAGCCTCGCATGGCTTGCCAAGAGAGCGTGCCAAAATTGCCTTAACTTGCATGATCAGGGGTGGCTTCAATAGAATTCTGGCTTGACCTCAGAAGGGCTGCTTTCAAACGTGGGTGTGGCGAAGGTAGGGTTCAGCCGTTAGGCCAAATGCTTCTGCAGGAGGTCGCCGAACTCGGCGGAGCCTTGGATTTTTTGGCTGCGGAGCTCCCAGGACCACAGAATCGGAAAATGTGGAGCCAGGTCTAGAGGAGGTGCAGCAAGTTTCAGCTGTAGTCGGGAGGTTTCAAGCCGCTTGAAGGTTCAGGGTAACCCGGGGCTTCAGGAGGTCTTGAACAGGTGCACGGCTTCGGATGCAGCATTCTGAGGGGCTCCAGTTTTCATAGGCAAAACCTGGTGAGGCCTTGGCGTCGGTGAAGGGCGCAAAAGACACAAAGCCCAGAACTTTACTCTAGCGCTTTCAGTGACGCTTGGCGGAGGTGCGAAAAACCTGCCCTTGCATGACGACCCGAAGCCAAAGGCAAACTGTGTAGACAAGAAGTGTATAGCGACAGGAGCTGACAATGGGGAGCTCGAAGACGAGGACGACGAAGCATACGATCCCCTTGCTGAGCCTCGGGCAGCAATTGAACATGATCGAAGAGCCGAACAGCTAACCCAGACAGCCTAGTAAAGCTCCCGCAAAGAAGGCTCTTCAGTTTTCATGCCTTGGTTGTGATGTTCTCACTCCCAAGTGGCCCAAGTAGTGCTTGCCGCTATCTGGCTCTCTGCTTCATATTGTTGACTCTGGTCTAGCTCGCTGGCTCAACGATCAGAAAGCTTGGCATGCTCGGCAGCAATCCACATCCCAGACGGGACCCGCAATTGTCACGAGTATCTGCCATCATCTGCCATCGTACCCATCTTCCAAATTTGGAAGGACGCCCAACCGGAAACTACATCCCGCATCGCCCGCTCAGGTCGAAGTCCCACCTATCATGTCTCGCCCCGTTCCAGTTCCCTTCGACTCCGGACTCGCTAGGGCCGCTAGGAGAGGGTTTCAGGGCATGGTTTCCCAAGTCTGCTCGACATCGCAGGTGCTGCCCGAGGTCTTTGACACGGAGGATCCCGCGGGCGACAAAGATGTCTCTTGTCGTACATTAGTGACATGACATGTCAATGCGGCACCAGCCCAGCGTTTGTCAACATGTTCAACATCTCTCTTTCTGGCACGCGTGTTATGTGCAAGGCGCCAGCGCGCTGGTGCCCAACTGATCTCCCTACATGCCCTGTAAAAAGCTGGATGCGACGGATTCTCTTCCTCCACAACCCTTGAAATTGCTGGTTTAAAATTTAGAATGTAATTATGCTCATCTACGGAGTGTGCAGATGAGATCCCGCCAAATTCACATCTTGGTACCTGCCGAGTGTTCGTGTTGCACACCTGGCACTTTCTGGTTCATACAATGGCATAGAAAGCCAAATGAATACATAAGGACATGCACTGCAAGGCAAGCAGGCAGACTTGCATGCATAAATCTCCGTATGGGTACATGATCGTGCATGCACATGTGTGTGAATTGTCTATGTCTACATGCATGTCTTTGTTCCCGTGGCTAGCTGGATGTTTGCCTGTCTACATTCTTTTCTTGTATCACCGCCCCAATGCTTTGTGCCACGCTAGCAGCTGTGAAAGCCGAAATCTGAAAGACCCTCATAAGACTGAGTCCGACTTGAGTTGTGTATGTTGTAGCTGCAGCTCCGTGTGCGCTTTTTCTCTGTCATCCGAGAGAAACTCCAGGCGCTCGCAGCAGCAGCGCATTTGCTGAACGTGGACCCTCAGGCATGCGCAAAGTCAAAGTCTTTTTGGCTTTGCCAGATTACGAAACTAATTTAAGAGTGAATGTAGTCCTTTGTCATTCGAGAGCAGAAGAGGAGAAACCACCAGGCCGGTGGCTCGGAATCTCTTAGAACTTCGAGCTCGTTCTTTCGGTTTACGGTTTGGTGGTTTCTATGTAACGAAATAACAGGGCGTTAATCTATTTGTTGCCGGCACGCAAACTTCAAATTGGCGAGGTTTTTGCATTGTTTCTCCACTCAGCAGTTTAGTTCCAGGACGTCACTGTACAGCACGAGTGGTAGAACATAACATACATTCCAGCCGGTTCCCTTGTTTGCGGGTCAGGCCTTGGTGGTAGACAAGCAATTAAACTAGGACGGCTGTAGCCCGTTTGCAGCAACGGCAAACCTGCAAAGGTGCTTCCGGCTGTTGTGTTTACACTTTCACCGGCGAGCTATTGTCAAGCTTCATAAGCTTGAAAGATCGGCTGACTTATAGTGACAGAACCGTAGCCTCCCCAATTTAAACCCTAAGAGAGTGCGGCCCCGAGACTCCAAAAACACCGCTGCAGGTTCTAGCTGAAGAGCAGCGCTTGCTGCAGGAGAGCACAGCTCTGGGGTTTCAGGTTGTGCTTCGCGTGGGCCCTGTGTTCCTTTCGCCCTTTCGCATGGAGCGCTGTCACTTGCAGTGGGCGCAGAGGTTTCGTTGCTTCCCTCTACCTCTTCCTCCCTCTCCCGGTCTTTCCAGAGCGGATGATTACATAGCCTGCAACAATTTTTGGGAGCAACTGCCATGGGCTACGAGGAGGGGCGGGCAGAACTCCACTGAGCTTATATATATATATATGTATGGAGCCTGTGGCACGTGCGGCGAAACGCCACATCGCGAAATACGTAAATGTACTTGGATGATCGCGCGGGGTTGTAAAACTTATGATACTTGTTACTAGATAGCATATAGTTATAAAAGATTGTTATCCTGTTAGAAATGGCTAGAACAAGTTATAAATGCTGCTAACTGCAATAAGACATGCAGGGCTTACTGGGGTTATGTAAACACCTGGCTAAGTCAGCCAACTTTTATATTATTTAAGGCAAATACCTTATTGCTTAGGCTACTTAGGTAAGCAGTTGGGTAACCACTTAGGTGCATAGCCTAAGTAGTTAGAGAGGTTGCTAACCACATACTTAAGTGTTTGCCTAAATAGTTATCCTGGAAGAATTTAGGCTTGCCTCCTGTTTTTGCTTTTCGCTTTTCCTGTTTTGTGCTTTGCAGTTTTGCCAATGCCCACATGCTGCATGGGCTTTCGAGCTGCTGCCAGATGCAAAAA